GCTAATAATCCAGGTAAAAAAGCAAAATATATAGAGTGGGAGGTAGTGATAGGTACCAAGGAAGAAAATAAGGCAGGAAAGGAGAGAAGAGAGAGCTGGGACTATCCAGAGTGGTGTTGTAATCTTAGAAAGAGTGGCCAGGGAAGGCTCATAAAGAGAGGGACATGTAAGTGAACATCCGAAGGTGGTGGAGGAACATTCCAGGAAAAGGGAACAAGAGTAAAGGCCCTGACCTGAAGCGTGCTTGGAGTGTTTGAGAAGCAGCCAGGAGCCAGTTTGGCTGGACTGTGGTAATTAAGGAGAGTGGAGAAAATGAGGTCGGAGGGGAGGTAACAGGAGAGATGGCGGTGAGGAGGAGAGGGACACCACGTGGAGCCTTTAGGCTATTGTAAGGACTTTCCCTTTTCCTGTGGCTGAGCTGGCTATTTACCAGACTCTTTCCTCTTCCTTCTATGGACACAGCTAGGCTGCAGTGTGCACAGGTAACTCAGATCTGGCCAAAGGAAAAGTAGCAGGTACGATGTCTACTACTTTTAGTCCTTGCCGTACAAACCTGCCGCATGCCATTCTCCAAGTTCTTTCTCTTTCTGTGGCAACCCTAGAAGCCGTGTATTGCAGATGGGCCGTCGCAAGATGGAAGGAGCCCAGGTTCTTGTTAAACAATCACTCACGGAGGGCGCCTGGGTGGCTCAGTTGGTTAAGCATCTGACTCACGGTTTTTTGGCTCCGGTCATGATCTCACCGTTCATGGGTTCAGGCCCCGCATTGGGCTCTGTGCTGACAGTGCGGAGCCTGCTGGGATTCTCTCTCTCCCTCTTTCTCTGCCCCTCCCCCACTCATGCTTGCTCGCGTGCTCTCTCTCTCAAAATAAACTTAAAAAAAAAAAAACAAAACCTGCTTACTGAACAGGGACGCCATTTGGGGACTTTTTCTGAGAAATAAACTTCTATTGGCTATTTTATGCCACTGACATATTAGAATTTATCTCTTACAGAGCTAGCATTTCCTTAACCGATGCAGATGGGAAGACATTGGAAGGTTTTGCAGAAAAATGACGTGATCTAAGAGTTTCACGAGGCTACATTTGGCTGAAGACGGTGAGATTAGAAACAAGCCACCGTGATCTGGACTAGAGATACAAACTTGGGAGTCATTGGTTTATGTGTGATATGCAACCACAAACTTTGCTTTGGAGATGGTATAAGGGTGTTGATGAGAACGAATCAGCAAAGGAAACTGAGAAGTAAAATCAGTGAAGGAGGAAAGCCAAGAGAATACAGTGTTCTAGAAGCCAAGTGAAGAAAGCATTTCAAAGAGAAAGCAGTAGCTACATATGTCACATGCTGGTGACAGTAACATGAGGACTGATTAGCCACCGACTTGAGCAATAGGGGGGCAGGTTTGGTGGGGAAGTGGGTTCAAAAACCTACTAGAGGGATTCAGGACAGAATAGGAAGCAAGAAATTGGACACCCTTTCAAGGAGTTTGCTTTAGAGGGGTAGAGAAAATTGGAGCAGAGGGGGAGAGGGACCGAGAGAGGTTTTGTTTTAGTTTCTTCCACAAGCAACACCAGTTTTATTGCTGTTGGGAGGGATCTAGGAGCAAGGATAAAACTGATGTAAGAAAAAGGGAGAATTGCTGGAGGAGTGTCCTTGGGTAGAAGAGATGGGATAGGATCTAGTACTGAAGGGGAAGAGTTGAACTTTGCTTAGAACTCAGACAGTTCTTCCATAGTAACAAGGAGAGAAACAAGATCTATGGGTCTGGTGCCTGGTAAGTGGTGGACATGGTCATGAGAGCTTGGAGTTCTCTTTCAGTTGCTAGCTACTATGTTCTCGGTGAAAAAGGAAGCTGAGGGGTGCCTGGGTACCTGAGTCGGTTAAGCGTCCGACTTGGGCTCAGATCATGATCTCACAGTTCGTGAGTTTGAGCCCCACATCGGGCTCTCTGCTGTGAGCACATGGGTCCTCTGTCTGCCTTTCTCTATGCCCCCCACCCCCTCTGGTTTTCACTCTCTCTCAAAATAAATAAATAAACTTAAAAAAAAAAAAAAAGGAGGGGCACCTGGGTGGCTCAGTCGTTAAGCGTCTGACTTCAGTTCAGGTCATAATCTCATAGTCTGTGGGTTCAAGCCCCCACTCGGGGCTCTGTACTGACAGCTCAGAGCCTGGAGCTGAAATTCTGTATCTCCCTCTCTCTCTCTGCCCCTCCCCCGCTTGTGCTCTGTCTCTCTCCCTCTCGAAAATAAATAAACATAAAACATTTTTTTTTAATAAAACAATAAATAAAAAGGAAGCTGGGTCATCAGAAGGCACTGGGGGTGTGTGTGTGAGGCAAGAGGTATGAAGTAGCCATTCAGCAGTCACAGCAGATGAGGGACGCATAGTATGACCTCTGGGCAACATTAAGGACCCTCCTGAGACTTGAGATGACGACTTGGAGGTAAGACTGGTGGGTATGTCCCATGGTTTTCTCCAAGCAAGTTTTGCAGCATGATGGGAGCATGGAGTGGGCAGAACTGGACTTAGCCAAGTGAATGAAATAAAGTGGAAGAGACACAAGGTGTTGAGGGTGCATGCTGAATATGGAATATGGAATCTAGGCTGGAGGGGAGGGAAATGAGGACACGAGGAGGGTGAGGAACCGTGGAAACCCAGAAGGAGCAGAAGATTGTGGTGGGTGGAAGGATTATTGGACTCAGGGAAAGAGGGGAGGCAGTGGAGGTGGAGAGTGGGAGTAATGGGGGAGGGGTGCAGTTATTAATGAGAGACTCCAGGATAGAATCATGGGAGTCAGTGGCCAATGAGAGTAATGGGCAGGATTACTGGGCAGAAGCTCAAGGAACAGTGACCAGGGCATGGGGGGAATCATCTAGGTGGATATTGAAATCACCAAGAATTAGGACAAAACAATTGGAAAGAGCGGTGGTGATCCAGGAACTGACTTTTTAGCCCTCCGACCATTTCAATCTGAAAATTACTCCAGTGAAGGAAAAGACCTTCCTAGAATATCTTAAAACAAAGCAAGACACCTGAAAAAAGTTTTCCACTTGGAAGTCTGGGCAGCTTTTTGGAAACGCCCATAGTCTGTTTTTTACTGAATATGAAATATTGTACATTTTAAACAAAGAGGCCAGTCCATCGGCCAGCTGACAGACACTCCTTTGTGTCTCCCTTGACCTATAATTTGTGAACCTCTGACTTTGCCTTTGCTTTGACCCTGGAACCTCTGACTTCCCCATGCTTTGAGGCTGTACCTCCTCTCCGCGGAATCGCTAGTTTAATAAGCACGAACGAGGTATGTCGACGTTTCATGGGGGTGTCATATGCAAAAGAAATTGAGCCAGTGCTAGTAGGACTGAGGCACAACAGCAAACTTAGAAAGTTTGACCACAAAAAGAGAAATTCCCCCCACCTCACACACTTACACTGGCAGTCTCAACCCCAAACCTTCACTTGAATCGCCAAGGCTAGGCTAGCAAGTCCTAAGGAAGGAGGTGCAAAGCTTGAATCAGAAAAGAGGGACAACGACGACGATGATGACCACCACCACCAACAACAACAACAAAAACTGGCAAAAAAGGAAACTTAAGGAGAGGCTCTTGGCTGGAATGAGTTTCTGGCCCTTCCTATTTACCCCGAGTAATCTGGACAGAGAAGAAAAGACATTTCTCTTTTGGTTTATGGCCTTACTTTCAAGTTTTAAATTAGATAAATAGAAGCTTGGTGAGGCATCTCTCAGTGGTGTGTTTCTTCTCTTATCCTCTCAGCTTCTTTTTCAGGTCCCTCTGTTTCCTTCTGTTACCGCCTCGCCGCGAGATCTCCCCTCTTCTCGGACTTCCTCCCTCCACCTCCTCTCTTCGCCTCCGCTTTGGTCTCTTCCACGTCTCCTCCGGTCCTGCTTCCCTTTCCTTCCTTCTCTCCACCTCTGGGCCCTGGCCCTTCTGAGAGCATGTCTTCTTGGGCTCACTCTGGTGGTGGGATGGAGGCTAGGTGTGGTGACAGGTGGCGGTGCGGACCCCGAGTACGTGGAATTACATACTAGAACGATGCAGGAATAATGCTTCTCACCCGGAGCCGTGCTCGCAAGTGGTTCTCCAAGGAAAGGCTATGCTATCAGCGTGAGATGATTCTAGTGTTTCCTTAGTTGCAGCTTTCTCCTCCTCCACATCCAGATAGAGTCCCTCAGAAAGCTGAAGGCTGCAGAGTGGCATTGGTGAGGGCTGCATAGATTCTCCCCAGAATGAAAGGGTGGTTCAAATACAATTTCCTGTTAGTGTAGGAGAGAAAGATGTCCCATGAGCAATAGCTTGCCTAAAAAGCTCTTCTATGGGCATGTAGATACGCTATTTTTTAAATTGTCAACTATTAATAACAAGTACTTGTAAGAGTTAGTGCTTTATTAATAATATTTGACTTGAGAAAACCCAAACCACTCCTCCCTTCTTTGGGGATCATCTCTGGTCAAGCAGAGACACATGGGAAGTACTTAACGAATATTTGCCAAATGAATATATGGATGGATGGACGAGCCTTGGAACATGGAAAGATAAGAGCTGGGCTCCAGAGAAGTATCATCTCCACCCCACCCGTTTTGGCCTTGCTCCTTCTCACTCTCTGCAGAAGGTTGGGGCTCCCTGAGAGCTCTGGAAAGGCAAAGGGAGAGCCAGCTTCCCACTCCCTCAGGGGAAGAGCCCCAGAGGCACTCCCCCGCACAGCGGGGGAGAAAGCAGGGCTAGCCACAACTGTGATGTCCTGGTCTCTGTCCCTTCAGGGCCACTTGCAGGAATTCCCAGGGGCCTCTGCGGGCTTTGCAACTGCCACATTTAGGGTTTCCGCTCAGCCCAGTTGGAGGTAGAGAACAGGGCGGAAACAAAGATGGTGAACTTGCCTTTGGCTGGCACCCCCACTCCCCCTCACGGCCTCCTGGAATCACCCCCAGGATCCTAGTACCTGACCCCGGGCCTGAGGTGGAACCCCAGGCCTGTCCCACAAAGGCGGTCAGATTAATCCCATCACCTTACCTATGAGTGGGGACAGCTGTGGCCCCGTGGAGGCTGCCAGGGTGCTGAGGAGTGAAAGGGGCTGTGGACCCGAGGGGTTCTCTCTTTCCCACTCTCCATAAGTGAACGAGTCCCTCCAGCTGAGGTCTCGGGTACAAGGGATGCTGTCTTCACTGGGAGTATCTTTCTCTAGGTTAAAAAGGGAATGCATTTGTTTGTACTTTAATTCACAGAGCAGTCTCACGGGTTATGGCCAACACGTGTAGGATGCTTATTATGGGCCAGATATGGTTCCAAACAATCCCATGTATTAATGCTCTTTTAATCTTCACAACAACCCCGAGAGGTCAGTGCTGCTCTAGTCTCCATTTTCCTAGGAATCTGAGGCCCAGCGAGGTTAACTTGCTTACCTATGGTCATGAAATGAGGAGTCAGATCCAGAATTCAAAGCCAGAATTCAAAGCTAGGCAACAGAGCCCATGTTTTAACCATCCTACCGTTTGAACAAGGCAGTGCCAGTAAAAGGAGAGAACCCATGTGGCTTGGAGAGGACCATTGAGTGAATTTCCCCCAGGAGATTCAGCTAGCTGAACTGGCAACGGCCTGGAACCCAGATGGCCTTAGGCCAGAGCCTGTTGTTGGTCCACTTGGCTTTAGCCACTCAAAGGGTGGCTTGCAGCCCAGCAGCTTTGCCATCACCCGGGAGCATGCACAGTCTCGGGCCCACCCGGATCTACTGACTCGGAAGCTGCATTTTTAACAAGATTCCCCGGGGACTATTTGCACGTTATAGCTTGGGAAGCCCCGCAATACGCCCCACCACCCACACCGATGGGGAGTTGAAAGGTTCAGCCACACAGGTAAGCTTTGGGACGCTGGTTTTTCCCAATGTAGCTCTCTCCTTCTTTTCATCCAGAAGTTCCAGGAGGCTGAAGTGTGACTATCCTTCCAAACTCAAAGGGTATGCTACCTGGCCCACGGAGGAAAGACGGTTCTTCAGTTTCAAGGAAAGAGAAGGGTCCTGAGGACATCCTAGGATAATTCATCGAAAACAGCCTTGGGACGGCTCGGGAGTGGTAGTTCCCATGGCACACGTATCCTCTGACTCTGAAACTGAAATATTCTGTCTTCCTCAACCATAATCCCATGGGGTATGTTTTGAGCGTGGGTGTGTGATTGAATGTTAGTGTGAAAACATTCAATACAATGCATCACCGTTGTATTATCTGTCACGTGATGGGAGACAGCATTCTTAGCCTTGGGGAAAACGTGGGCCAGCTCTACTCACCGTTTAGAATAGGGGCTGTGAACTGGCAGCCTCCAGGCTGAATCTGGTCTGCAGATACCTTTAGTTTACCCACTGTCAGCCTATGCTGTGCTTTAGCATTTTTAGGGGCAGGGTCACATAAAAATCCAGATTTGGGGCTTTTCTTGAAAACTCAGGGTATCTGGCAACACCAGATCTGTGTTCCAGCATGGTGACAATTAAAGGCTCCACTGAAACCTTCACTTTGTCATTGTCACTGTCCCTGCCATGTCCTATTGCCTCCTCAGTGCTGACCTCCAGGTGTCAGCCCAGCTGTTGTTTAACTTACAGTGGAGTTGAGAGATAAGTCAACCATTTCTCAAAAAAAATTTTTTTTTACTGTTTATTTATTTTTGAGAGAGAAAGAGAGAGAGAGAGGATGTGAGCAGGGGAGGGGCAGAGAGAGAGACCCACAGAATCGGAAGCAGGCTCCAGGCTCTGAGTTGTCAGTGCAGAGCCCAACGCGGGGCTCGAACTCACGAGCTGTGAGGATCAGGACCTGAGCCGAAGTCAGACGCTTAACCGACTGAGCCACCCAGGTGCCCCATAAGTCCACCATTTCTTATATGACACCTAGACTCTCCAGACGTTTGAGTTGTAATCCCCGGTTTGGACGAAAGTTGGT